TATCCACTGAGCAAAATTAGAAGAATGGAGATAGCTGCTCCTCTGTCAAATGCAGGGAATAGATTCGGAGAAAACTCCTGGAACAAACTCGCCAGCAGTTTTCAAGTTGACAAGCAGGTATTCTCTATTGTGGCTCCGGGACACGCAGATTGCTCCTCCTAACATGTATCCCCGTACTGCTACACAAGCCGTCCTTATATAGTCACTGGGCATACATGCATATTCATGGAGCTGTGCATGAATTACATAGTTTTCCAGAAAGTTTCCCGCATGCATACAAAAATGTGATGGTGGTCTTCGAGGGTCGTTTACTTCTTCCAAGAATCTTCCTCACTTCTGGCAGTCTTTGAAGCACCGGCTTAATTAACATTACAGACATAGCAATCATCCTGTCCTTCGACTTACCAGTTAGTTTAACTGCTCCCATCCTGGACATCTGCTAGTCCCCGATACTCCCCAGTAGATGTTTGCACCAGCTTAATGGGTTCATTAACACCACAAACATAGCAATCCTCCTGTCCTTCTACTTACTTAGTTTAACTGTGCCCATCCTGGACATAAGGTAGTCCCAGATACTCCCCATCCCCAGGTCCTGTTTTTCTGTTTTGTTTTTCTTACACTTTTTGTACTAAGGTCCTAAGGACTTAAACTATGTCAGCTACCTTCAAGCACCTCATTTATTTTCCATTACAAAGCCATCAAACATTAACGTTACTTAGAACTGATTACATTTTGTGCTTTTGTGCCTCTTTGTCTCAGCTTTCCCTTGTCCTCCGCGCCCCCAAAGCAGGACAGAGGTTTAGGAATGTTTAGAAATGATTGTGCAGGACAAAGGAAAGGAGGGGTCTGAGGTTTGGGTACAGCAAGGATAAAAGCAAGAAAGTGTAAAATTGATGGTGAAAGTGTTGATGAAGATGAGGGGAAAAAAAAAAAAATCAAGTGAAATGAGAAAGCCATTTGAAACAAATTATCTAAAAGTATTTCTAAAAATACTTTGAGTATTATATACTTTGTATATATTATACTCTGCTGAGAACAGGTATAATCCCTGTAACTTCCAGGTGAAATTGTCTTGCAGCTTTTGGCTCATGAAACTTTGTCATCTTCAATCCTCTCCTTAATTAATAATGCCTGCAACTCTTAGTTTTGGGAATTACCCATGAAACAAGCGTCCCTATGAGAGACCTTTGGAGTTTAAAACTTTCTCACTCACTCTTTGCCTCAGCAGGCTCTTAAGATAGGCAGATCAAATGACCTGGCACTGTCTTGCTGTCATGTCAGTAAAGAGGACTATATGATGACCTAATGGAACTTTTGCAGCCATTACTACCTATAGACGCTCTCAAGTCATCTTATGCAGCTGCCAAATCCATTTGCAAGAGTGAGCAACTGCCTCAGTACTTGCCAAATGTTTCCGCTGCTAGTCTATTCAGTGATGTGTAACGTACCCCATCCTAGCTGCTGAATCTTTCTACAGTTTCTCATAAGCACAGGGCCACCAGGGTTTCACTTCAGCTTTAATTCAAATCTTGCAGTTGCTCTGTTGTTCTTAAGCTTTTCAGGCTCCTGGGTGACTGCAGATGCTAAACCCAGGTCTCTGCAGAGCCAGTTTGCTTGCACGTTATTAAATAAGAACAGATGTCCTTCAGTCTCATTCTGGGGCTGACTTTACGGTCAGAGCACCTTCAGAGTTCAGCAATCCTTTATTCGGTGATTTGATTTTTTTATTATTTTTTTTTCACTAGAAGGTCCCAGCCTGAATCATTTAAGCCTGTGTCATTCTCTTCAACATTCAAGTTTGCTGTCTGATCCAAACCACATCTTTCAAGATATGTTCATTCTTATGTCATCCTTAATTCTCCCAGATGATTTTGTATTTGAATCATGTACCTTATATTGATTTTTTTTTTTTTTTTTCCCCTCTGTCATGGAGATATTCTTCTTTTGTTCTGTGTGACACAGGATCCTTCCTCTCCCTCCAAGATGCTCCCTGATTTTAAGGCATTTCCCTTCTCAGAGTATTCTGTCTCATAATATGCCTAAATTTACATGGGCCACTTGATGCAGTTAGTGGCTGTGATACAAATCTGTCACTTGTAAAACTTGGGCCTATTGAGTTTTTAAGCAATTCATACTCATTTGGCTACTTTAATCCTCTGGATCAGGAACTGCTGCTGGTTAGAACTGACCTAGATCAGAAAAAAATGATTAATTTGCAGACAAATCAGTTCCCTGATCTGATTTGCTCCAAAGAGTTCTGAGCACTCAATATCAGCACAGTGGAGGGTCAGGAACATGACAGGGCTCGGGAGGAGGCAGAAATTCCTATTTTGGCAATGTCCCACACAGGTTGACTTAAACCAGTTATTAAACTTTATGCTTGCCAAAACAAAGGAATTTATTAGTTTGTAGCTGGATCATCTCCCTGAACTGTTTGTGCACTGTGTTGCATAAGTGCAAATGTTGGTGGAAGGTGCAGGATGAAGGACAGACTGCGGCACCATTCCTTCTTTTGTAATTGCCTTGGAACTACACCTATTGTTTTAGCTCAAAGAAGTCTGTATTTAACATTAATATCCTGGCTTCTCACCTTCTGTGATTTCTCATCCAAGTACTGATGTGACCTTAGGTTGATGAGCAGAGCTATTTTAAAAAGGGGAAAAGAAAAAAAAAAAAAAAAGGCAAAAATTTGGTTGGCAGCCAGGTTCATTTTTATGAGGGTTATTTTACACTCTTGCAGAACAATGTGTAATTCAGACTGATTCCTTCAGGCAGTTGCTCAAAAGAAATCTTTGTAACGGTGTTTTGCTCTAATTGCATTAGTGTGGAAACTTGGTCTCTCCAGCAACATTAAGTAGTAAGGTGATAGAGTAATACAAATTTAGATAGGTCCATATTAGGAGTTGCTACATCTGGTAGCACAGTATAGAGGAGACTGCTGTAGCTGGCCATGTAGAAAATGCAGCATGCAGGCAAACACAACCAGCATCAATGGCCTCATCTTTTCCCTTCACTGGCTGACTGGGATGAAGGCCTGTTTATGGAAAATACACACATACACAGGATTGATCTTTCCAGCAAGTGGCCTTAGTCTCTTATTCTGCTCTATAGCTGGTCCCTCAATTCCCTGGTCTTCCAGGTGTCCCACAGACTGTACTGGGTCTCTCTGGCACCTGGTCTGGATTTGTCCTTACCAGTGCCCAGTCCCCAGGTGTATTGGTCCCTCCAGTAGCCAAATCTCAGACCTTCTGGTCTCTCCAAAGCTGGCCTGGACTCATGGTTCCTTGGCTCCCAAGCCTCATCTCTACTTGCCAGCTAGTGCAGCTTGGTGTTTGCCAGAGATCACCCACTGACACAGGTACCCATGCAGCATCCCTCCCTTTTCTTGCATTAGGTTTTTCCTCTAAATGTATTTTATGCCTTCTGCAATCCCAGAATGTTCCTGCCATGTCATAATGAGCCCTATACCCTGTAACCGCCTCCTTCAGTCTGCAGGGTGATCTAGAGAGAGCCTCTCCTCTGGGCTCCCCCACTGCCTGGGAATCGCCCTGGCATGCTGGGCTGCCGTATTCTGACAGCCCTGGGAGCAGCTGGGCCGAGGGCTCAGTTTCTTATTTGGGTTATTGGGATTCCTCTGCCTAATGCTGTTCATCTGTGCTCTTTGTGTCTGTGGGGAGGAGCCTTTAATCACACAATGTAACGCTCACTACTTTCTTTTTGCCACTAAAAAGTCAAGAGACTGGGCGCTGCACAACTGCTTCAACAGCCGAGGGTTACAGCCTCTTAATATTAGTTCAGAGTTAAGTGTGGTGAAATAGGGAAGGGTTAGGTGTTTAAGAGGGATGGCTTTCATACAGTGCTTCTCACTACATGAGTATTTTGTTTCTTAAATACGAGCGTGATGGGCTTCAGACTATAAAATGCTTTATTTAAATTTGTCTTGAAAGCAATTCCAGCAAAGTGGACTGCTCACAATTTCGTTAGGTGGTACTGACAAGCTGTGTCTCAGAAATGGTTTCAAATGGGCTTGTTACTCTAAATGCTAATTGATTTTTTAACAGTTAAAAGTGTCCCTTTGTTTAGTTTGAGTTTGTTGTTTTGAATATGGCTTGTGCCTGCTTTGGTTTTTTTTCCCTCAGAGCAAACAAGTTTATACCTAGATCTTTATAGCCTTAAGATATTTCAAACTGTAATTACTCCTCTTCACCCCCCTCCTTGGCTCCCTTGTTTTCAAGGCTGAACATGTTAAGCTTGGGAAGCGTTGCCACTATCTCAGATGGTGTTTGCTCTCACCCGACTCCTGCAGTCGCCTATGTCGTTTTTAAAACTTAGTTTTTGGTTTCTGTGTTTGAGAGCACCTTTCCTTACAGCTGCAGGTTTTTCTCTTTCTCCCATTTGCTAATGCAGTTTAGACTACAGGAAAGCCTTGCGTCCATTTTTACGTGAAGGCTTGGCTTAAGGTGCAGTGTTTTCGAGCAGACATTAGGCATGCACGCACACAGCATGCACAGCGTGTTAATGAGGATCAAGGGTTTATCCCGATAACCACACTTCCAGGCGTTCTATAATAGTAGGTTGTTTAATGTAGGTGGATGTAATGAAAATCCCACCATCCACACGCTGTAATGCCTCCAGTAAATCTGTCGCGACTGACCGCAGGTGGCCTGTGCCGCCTGCAACCCGGGTCTGCTGCTTCGTTCCCGGCCGCGGCGGGCCCGAGAGCGGCGTCACGGCCGCGGGCCCAAGTAGCGATAACACGGCGGTTCGGAGCGCCCGCCGCTCGCTGCCCGGTGTTCTGTGGCTCTCCCCCGCCGCGGAGGGAGCGGGCTCTTTAAGAAGCCCCCATGCCGTGTCGGCGGCGGGCGCCGAGTGCCGGAGAAGCTCAGCTTTACAGCGGAGCCCGCGCCCGAGTGTAACCAACCCGGCTGCAGGCTCCGCGCCCTGATTGACAGCGGGACCAGAGCTATGCAAATGGCGGCGGCGCGGCCGGGGGCTCTCCCGCCGAGCTCGGTACCCCCGCGCCCCGGAACGCGCTCCGCGTTCCACAAAGCAATTGTTGCTTTTTTGGGGATGTCGTTACATGTAAAATCATCTCGAGCGCGGTTTCAGTTTGAGATACGTGCGAGAGAGCTAGGGAGATGTGTCAGAGCTTGTTTCTCAGGGTAAATTAGGTAATTTTTAGCTGGGTAATGTGCTAATCTTTAAACCTTTATGTTTCTAAATCCTGCGTATGCCTGGTCTCTTCATACAAAAGTGTATTTTGCTTGTTTCTTCTCGTCGTCTTCAGTCTGAAGCCTTATGTAGGTCAGGCTTGGCTTAAGCAGATTTCCTGAACCTGCGTCAGCTTAAGCTGAAGGAATTTTAATAAACCCTCCCTTGTAGGCGTGGGCCTAAATGAGACTAGCCTAGTTAAGCCTGATCTTTTTCTGTTTGTGAAAAAGAGCTGAGCAGAGCTAGGGACTGCATGGTGGCTTCAGAAACGGCTTCCTTAATTCAAAGATAACAATGGTTGGGAAGGCCAGATCTTCTAATTTTACCTTATCTGAAAAGCTTGATTTGCTAAAACTCGTGAAGCCGTACGTTAAAATTCTCGAGGAACATACTAATAAGCATTCTGTAATAGTGGAAAAAAACAAATGCTGGGATATCATAGCTGATAACTACAATGCCATCGGAGTAGATCGCCCTCCTCGCACCGCACAGGGCCTGCGCACGCTGTACAAGAGGCTCAAAGAATATGCCAAACAGGAGCTATTGCAGCAAAAGGAGACTCACTCAGATTGTAAAAGCAGCATTTCCGAGCCAACCAAGAAAGTTGTGGAGATGATTCCACAGATTTCCAATGTGTGTTTAAGAGACAGGAGCGGTGTTCAAAGGTGAGATGATTCTTTTTATTTTGTTACTGAATGAAAAGTATGGCGCCTCCTATCTACTCTGTAACTCTTTGCTTGTGGTCAGGCTCCTAAAGGCAGTGTGTAGCTGAGAAAAGCCCCCAGTGGGGAACAATGACAAAATAATAGTGCTTTTGTTTTATGGGAAGCTTTATGGTGACTTAGCACTGCATTCATTTTTTTTCAGCTCTCTTTCAAAGCCTGTTTCAGAGTCTTTGTCATACTCTGGGAAGTGAGGGTTAAGAGAGAAGCAAAGAGAAATAGTAGTTCCAACCTCGACCCCTCCCCTACCTTTTAATAGGCAGATTATTCAAACATGGGCAAAGTGATGGCAGTTCTCCTCCATTTAAGGTAATACTGCAGTCATTTTGCAACATATGAAACTTACCAGTTTATAGAGAATTGTTAACAAGTTAGTTCACAGGGCTAAGAAACCTTGGCTTTACACCTTTTGTCTCTCATTTACTATGTTTGCATGTTACGTTTTAACTAATCCCATTCCTTTTTAAAAAACAATAAAATTCCCTCCCCACACCACTAGTGCCTTTGTGAGTACAAATGTTTTGTTTTTTTTACATTATACTTTTCTTGCATGGATGGTGGTTCCCTGGAACTGGAGCAAAGCTAACTGCAGTCTAAACTCCAAGCAGTTCTGTATCGTTGGATAGGTAAATACAGAAAGCAACTGAGAGGTGCAGTACTAGAAGTTTTCTTTTTTTGTAGGTGTTTTTTTTCCTGCTGCTCAGTAAAGTGAGACACACTGTCTAGATTTGAGCCAGACATAATACAGGCAGGCAGCATGCAGGCTTTCTCGCACAGCTGGCTAATACCCCTCATATCTGACTTGCAACACTCTGCTGGTTCTGTATTGGTCCTTGAGGGATCAAAAAATGCCTGGGTCAGGTTTTGATTCCTCCAGATACAAAACTAAGCTGGGGAAGAGGAAAAGAGGAAGACAGATAACTCCCCAGCAACCTTAAGAAAGCTTTGATTTTTCTTATTTTCCCAAGCAGATTAATGGGAAGCAAACTTTCCGTATTTTAACCAGATATAGTGGTAATCAGTGCAGCAGTGTAATGCTCTAAGAAAAGCTGGCATGCGCACACAGGCTGAATTGAATTCATGGTGCCACTGGTTGAACTGAATGGTAACAATTGTCTAAATCCCAACATGCCAGATGCTCTAAAAATATGCTGTTGTGCGTCCTTTGCGTAAAGAAGTCTGAAGCAACTGGGCTGTGCTGCAGCTCCTGGTGAATGCCCCTGGAGGAACCGTTCCAAAGAATTCTCTGGAACAAAATGAGGCTTTTAATTGCGCTAATAAAGGTTGCAGTGTCTTGACTACCAACTTTTGTAAGGAGGAAAAAAAAAACAGTGTGAGAACTTTGGTTTGTGGATCAGCTTATAAAAAGCATTGACGCTTTTCGTGAATGATTAAGAGCTAATGATCTCCATAGTTTGTCTCCTATAATTTAAACATTTTTTGCAGTCCCTTACGGGTCTGGGAACATTGACTTGATTACTGCCTACCCAAAATGTTTTTTCCTAGGAACAGCCAATACACTGTGCACTGAGGAAAAGAATATCATTTAAAAGGTTGTGTTTTTCTTTGCCCAAATGCATCATTGTTTGATAGTTCTAATTTTAAATCTGAGTGGCATTTTACCCAAATTTTCCAGACCCTGTATTGGGTTTTAACTCACCAGGATATGGCTCAGGTTTTGTAGGAGGGGAATACAACTTGGACAACATTGAATCCAAATTCTTAATCGCACCTTTAAGCAATTTCTAGCTCCCTGTGATTAAACAAAACCTGGTGAATCACCAGTGCCTGCAGGGTTATAAACACCATCCCCCAGTTGTGGTAACTGTTGTTTGCCTTTCTTTCAGACAAGTTGTCAGAAACAACATTAGTGACCACCATACAGGCGGCTCTTTTGTTTCTCAATTCCTTCATTTTCTCTTTGCTGTCTAATTGTTTTCATCTGAAGAGACTGACTGGGGGGGGGGGGGGCGCAGTTTCCTCAGAGTTACCTGAAGATTTGGTAATTTTCTAGTTCTGTGAGGGTTATTCCTTAAGGGATGAATTTTGCACTGTTTGGAGGTTCTGGTCTATGTTCAACTAAATCTTACCTATCTTTCTTCTCTTTAACCTCTCTCACTTTCTCTTTTTGCTCTCTGTTTCCCTTTGTCAGAATGACCTGCTTCTCCTGCTGGTTGTTTCCACTTTTCTCAGGCTAGAAGCTGGCCAGGAGCCAGCAAATAAGGAGGAGGGAAGCTGTTTTAGACCAGAATTCCAGTCAGCACTGGGGAGAACAAGTGAAAATTTGTGTGCAGGTTAATACTTCCGATGCTCAGTGAGAGGAGTAAAAGGAATGTGAGAAAAAAATATATTGGAAAAGGTGAAGCTTTGTGGCAGGAGGAGGAGGGAGTAAGGTGATATAATTGATTCTCTATAGGCAGCTCAGGTAACAGTCAACAGAATTAAGATTATCCTAGCATTTTCTTTGGAGAATAGATGAAAAGTCTACTTTCAATATTTGCTTCAGATAGACTTCTGGGTTGTTTTTGTTTTTTGTTTTGTCGTTGTGGTGATGTGTGTTTTTTTTTGTTGTGTTTTTTTTTTTTGTTTGTTTGTTTGTTTTTAATCTTCAGTTAAAATGGTTTGGGTGGTTGACAGGGTTAATTTTTGGCAAACACATTGCTCTGACCCTGTTGAATGCTTTTGCAGTTGGGTATTCAGAATCCTTCATACTTTTAGTCTAGAAAATGCACTTTCATGTTAATGAATGGCAGAGTAGATCTGGGTCCTTCAGAAACTGCAACCGTGACTGCTTATTTCTTTTAAACCAAGAGTTTTGAAGACCATGGAAGATGCAGAAGAGATGATCATGCCACCTTTTGATTAAGGAGTTAGTGCATTTAAATGAGAAGTAGGATGTACAACTTCAGTTTCTCTTTGCTTCTGGGAATTTGAACCCACATCTATTGCTACCCAGACCAGTGTTTTAATAATCAGATAGTGTTTCTCAATTTGTGGATAGTGGGACTCACAATGAGTTTAAAAAACGTAAGCAAAAACCTCCCACCCCCCAATTGAATAGAAAGCAACTGCAGGATTTGGAAGCATCAGTGAATGTTACATTAATCATGGATCCCCCTGCTGCCTTTAGCTGTTCACAGGAGCTCATTCTTCAATGGCTGGGGAATGTCTGTCTTTATCTTCAACCACCAGTTAGAGCCTCTGTTACTCTCTCAAGGCTATGATGATGCACTGTACAAAGTCAACATGTTTCTGTTCCCATGTTACACTATACTGCCTTTTCAGTTATGCTGAAAGCATTCTTTGTAGGTATGTGCTGTAACATGGAGCAAGAAGCTGATCTGGTTTTAAAAAGCATAACCCGAATAAAGGAGTGATGTGTAGAAGTGTAGGGTTTCAAAAGGAACTGATGATAGAGAAGTGGCAGGAGCAGCTTGAGCCATCATTATCATCAAAGCTAATGTAATGTTAAATCATGATTCGAGGTGCTGCTGACTCAGGGCTTTACTCAAAGACAGATGAGTCAAGTGGGTGTTGTACTTTCTAAAAGAAACGCACAGAACTGTAGGCTGTTCTTAATGGAAACGTTTCTGTGTCTTTTCGTGAAGCTTCAGAACACTGACATCACTGATTCAAAGAGAAGGAGCAAGGATTAGCTTGATTCCCTAATCTACTGGCAGGACTGTCATTTGGGTTCTGGTTTCTTCTCCCAGGGCTCTTTGTGTGATTTTATTCAGTGATTGTTTTACATTAAAAAAAAACCAACAAATAAGTACTTGGGTGTGTGAATCAGAAACAGGGAACACATTATGACAGGAGATGAATAAGTTTGGGAGATGGAAATGTTTCTGCCAAAGTTCACTCAATCTCAATTAATGCCCTTTTAAAATCACATTACATGTTATTAGCTCTTTTCTCTGTCACTTGCATGATTTGCTGCTGCTTTGTTTTTATTCTTACTTGTCACTAATAGCCCTTTTTGCTTCTCCAGTGTCGAAAGAAGGGCGTACCAGAATTAGCAGAAGGACATACTTTATTGGCTATACTGCTTTTATAGCAATAGAATCCAGATAAGACAGGGCTGTGTATGTGCAGTGAAAAGGAGGGCTACAGGTGATGGTCATGTAATGAAGTATAGTCATAAGCATAGATAGCAGAGTAGTATTTCAAATGAAGTGTTGCTTACTTACGGCCTTTTAAAAATAGTTTTTAATGGATTATTTAAATATGATTTTGTGTGTTCTAGTGCTAGTATCGATAAAGAAACAGTTGCTGGTACCAGTTCACCACAGGCAATGTTGGATCACCATCCTGCGACAGTCATGATGGAATTGCAATCAGAAGAGGATGTCAAACCTCCTCCTTCTTTGCTTATAGACTCACAGCAAAATGAGAACTTGGAACAAGGGGAAGAACACCAGCTGGTGCATATAATGGAAAGGTCTCCTTCAACATCAGTATCTTCAGTTGATATGAGAGTGATGATGTCTCCCTCTCCTGTACCAAGAAGAGATGAGTTTTTTAGGCTTGAGGTTGGGGAACGTTTTAGACCAATGTGTGGTTATGACCCACAGATGTTACAAATGCTGAAAGAAGAGCATCAAATAATTTTAGAAAATCAAAGAAAAATTGGTCTTTATGTCCAAGAAAAAAGGGATGGTTTGAAAAGAAAGCAGCAACTGGAAGAAGAACTGTTGCGAACAAAAATCAAAGTAGAGAAGCTGAAGGCAATACGACTACGCCGTGATCTGCCAGAATACAGCAATATCTAAATATTTTATTACTTCTGTCATATTCTTTGAAATACTTAATAATAAATGCTTTTGCCCCAGCAGAATTGTTCCTGATGTTAATATGGATGGATCAAAATCTGGGCTTGAGAGACAAAAGCATATTTTCCATGTTGTTGTTTATTACCTTACAAAATACCTCATATGGGTTTGAATGCACCAACTCTTCTGGTCTGAAGTATAACTAAATCTTGTACAGTTAAGTGTTCTGGTTGATAAAAATCCAGACTTCAAAAATCTTTCCACTTCTTTCTATTAGGGTTGTGATGAGCTAATGCAAATTTAGCTCAGGTATTTTTAAAAATTCTGATCATATGCATTATTTTTTCAAACTCGATGAAGTTACAGGTTAATACATACAAAAAGGAGGAATAAGAGGCTTAAATGTCTTATTCCTTTCAAGTTGGTAAATCTTTCGACAGTGATGAGTTTTTGTTGATATATCAGCTTGGAAAACAGTTACTGGATTGTTATATTTTTTTAATGTTCAGTAGACAGTTGAGTAAATGCACATCTTTTTAAAAGTTGCTACTTTTTATTGTTTCCAGTGGAGGAGTGTTTCCATAGGATGTTATCAGAATAGAGACAGTGAATGCAATGCTTGGTTTTTAACTGCATGCATGTGTAATTTGTGTGTACAGTTACCATGATCGTATATTCAGTTATAGTAATTATACTGGTGATCAACCACAGATATGTCTAATCTCTTCATTTGCATGCATAATTACTAGAGTGCATGTGCAACCAAGACAATTGCAGGTGCCTTTGATCAATATCACTATGACTATAAGCTACTGAAATGAAATAGTGTCTGTATGTAAGTAACATGTGACTTGAAAGCAACAGAGGATTCTGTGTTATTCTGGGTACCTTTTAGAAATGCTGTTGTTCTGGTCTTTCAATTAGTTTCAAATAAAAAGCCCCAAATGAAAAAGATATTGATTCTTTTGTCTGTCCTAGTAGCAGCCTTTTCCTCTGCAGTTACAATCAACGTTGATAACCGTAAGAAAAATACCTGGAAAGCATAAATCTCAGATGATTGAGTTCTTCATAATTCTTAGTCTCCTGCCTGTTGTGAATGGATCCAGAACTGCGTTAGATCTCTGTCTCCTTATTCCCTGTAAAGTGCTTTCTCCTTCCTCTAACCTTTAGCACAAGAAAATAAGCACAGCAACAGGGAAAAGGAGAGAACAAAGGAGATGTAGTTCCTCCTGTGCCTTTCATCTTTGAGGGCCCCAACAGCAGCAAGAGCAAAAGCAATAGGGCGGAGAATATTTCTTCCTGTGGCTGCTTGTAACTGTCACTTCTGTCATCACTATTTTCCCAAATTTCCTTCTTTCCCCATTCTCATAGAACCTCAGCCTGCGAGTGTGGGCACTGCATCAGTAGACTGTGAATGGGGCAAGCCTCGCACCTCCTTGTTGGTCTTCTGACTGAATCAGGTTACTTTGTAGCCACAGGGACAAATGCTTATTAAAAACTGAAAGTTGGAAGTGTGTATGTTTGAGGCTAGAGGAGCTTAAAGAACTGTAGTTAAAAATTTATGATAGTGATACTAGAGAAATAATCTTGACTGTCGGTGCTCAGGTTTGACAGGTTCCAGGTAGGAAGAGTAGAGGAAAGCAAGTCTTTTGTCTGCAAACTGAGTAAAATACAGACAGTGAAAATGGATGTTGTCAGTATGGAGTTCTGCAGTACATTTACAGTTGTTTTCTAGAGAAGAGTGTGCTGTTTGTTCTGTTGGGAAATTTTTGTGTGTGCTGAGAGTGATGACTGAATAAGTGGCCTCTCTTTCTGTACAGTCCTTGGCTTTGTGCTGTATTTTTCAGTTCAAAGACATCGACCTGTTTTTGTGTAGTTGGAAGTACTTCAATGAGATACTCACTTCCCTGAGTTTATGAGCGTCAAATATTTGCTTTAATAAATAAATAAGAATTTATTTGTTCTACTTCTCAGAAATGGGAAACAGACCTAAATTCTCTGCACTCGTCTTATAATTTGGGAAATGCTTGATCTTATCCTTTCAGTTGCAAACCAGAATTCTGCTCTCCAGTGGTAAGGAATTAATTGCTATTTATTGTTTCTGTCCTTACATATTAAGCAAATGAACAAGTTTTGAATAGTTCAGAAAATAATTCCCATGTAGCTCATTGTCTTGCAGTGGTTTTGTATTATAGCTACTCTTCTGTTGGCTGCCAAAATCCTCTAAAGACTTTAGAATATTTCCTGCTCAATTCTCCTTGAGCTAGAGGAAGAGGTGACCTCCAGGATTTCTGTTGGCATAGTATTTTTATTTTGAGGACTAGAACAGGAGGAATTCCCAGTCTGTGAAAGCTTGTAGTCCTTTCTGAACTAGCAGGAAAGTAGAAGCAAAAATAGGATTCTGGCTAGAGCAAAGTCTCCCTTGTATTCTTGATATTGGTAGGAGAAGGATGCAAATGAGTAAAGAAGTAAAATGCACCAGCCTGGTGAGAGATGTCTCCTTATAATCGGCTTGTTTCTGTAGCTGCTTATTCTGGCTTTTTCTCACTTGTTGGTGGAAGGCCTTTCATTCTTACCTGCAGGCAGCATCTCTAGTTCAGAGATCTGAACTAGTTCATGCTTCTCATTTGCTTTGTTCTCCATGTGTTTCCTTTGGGTTTAGGGGAGCTTGGGGTAAGGGGAGACATCTCTTGAGTCCCTATGAAGCTTGCTTCTTTACCAGTGACATGACGTTTATTTCCTTTCACTACAGAAATATTTCTGCCTTAGTGACATTCTGTTCCTCCGTGAGTGTAATATGGTGCTAACTATATATTCTACCTTTACATGCTGGTGGATCTGGATTTCTTTCTCACTCCACATCTGCTTTACAGTATCAGGTTATCTGTCTGAGTCAGACTTCTCACTTCTAAGTGCCTGTTCCTGTTTTTATTTTCCATGTATTCTTAATGTGGATGCATGCACCACAGTTGTGGCTAGGCTTTCTGGACCTCAAAGTGCTATAAATTTTTACTGTTCCAGCAAATGATAGTCTGTTAGCCTGTGTGAAAGTGATGGTAGGAAGCCCTGCTCTCCTTTCACCCTGTTCTTATCCTCTTATTCCCTTCACTACATCTGGCAGTGCCATTCCTTATCTGCATATTTATAATGTACATAGTACAAGCAGAGTAATTTTAGGCAAGGACAAATTTCTGCCATATGTTCATGTCCTTCTACTAGGATAACTGAAATAAGCAGGCTTCAGGAGGAATTTAGTTCCCAACAACTAATAGACTTATACCTAGGATTAAAAAACTGTAACTATGATAACTCTGTGATAATTGTTGTAGCATCTTGTGTAACTTCATCTATCTGAGTAATTGTGTAATGATGAGTCTGTAATTTTCTCAGTTGCTCCCTAATTATCTGTCTTTTCTTGTTCCTCCCTGCTTCCTCCTGTAAGCTTTTGACATCTGTGGAATCATCTCAGTTGATGTGCTTGCCTTTGGTCAGAATTCTTAACGTGTAAAAATGGTGGGAGAGAGAAGTACTCCAAGACCAGGAGAGACTACTTAGAGCTACTCTTGCTTGTCATACTCCTGTTTTCTGATATCTTCCACCTCACTATCTTCAATTCCGTTCTTTCATTTATATTTCTCACATTTTCCAGCTTGGATTTTTCCCTGTATACAATGAAAATACACAGAGTTTGCATACTATCTTCTTTGGGAAGTCCTTGTGTCCTCTGGCTTTCCAGTAAGCAAAGCCATTAAGTTGCTTATAATTAAAAGAGAATTATTTCCAAGTGGGAGGAGAAAATGAGGAACAAATGAGGAATTGTGATACCCAGGCTGGCTGGCTAAGATGTCATTTACAGCAGTTAAAATAATAGTCTGTTAGCTGGGTGTGTAACACATGGTGAAATTTCAGTCGTTCTGTGACCTATGTTTCTGTGTTTTACCTCTGCTGAAAATGAAAGCGTTTGCCTTGATGTCGCCTGAGTTGGCTGTGTAGTGTTGGTTGCTCTTAAATGGCATCCAGTTTGTCTGGGCAAAGCTTCCTCCATAGAAAGATACAATTTCCTGAAGTTTTATTGAACATGAGCTAATAAAATTAGTCTGTGTGAATTTTTCCCTGTAAAATCTACAGTTCCCTGCTAATGTAGTTGAAAACCTTGTTTGTGATGCATGTGTGAGGGGAGGTGGATGAGGGTCAGAGAAGCCAAGGAAGGCTCAGCTGTCTGCAGACATTGTCATTCCCCACTGCTTGTGCCTTCCTTCCGTGCCGTGGGATTTTGATGCTGTTTTATCCTAGTGATTACACGGAATGATTTGTTGAGGTATCCAAACATCTCTGAGTGAACACACCACCTTGTTTGGCTTGGTATTATTCATGCAAGAAGAATATGCTGTAATTTTCATTGAATACTTAATCAGCAGTTACTCCACATGATTTATGGTTTCTATTTGTTGTTTAGCAAAACTGCAGACTTGAAAAATCATACCTAATTTTTTTGTGTTTTATGTATGCAAATAGAATTTGTTAAAAAAGAAGTCACGGTTTCCTGGCCATTTCTTCCTGGCTCTTGATTTTCATCTACAGTTGGCATAATCACCATCATTAGCATAATTTAACATAAATGTAACTTAACAAGTAATTCCACTGATGATGGTGCCCCTCCATATTCAGTTGATGTCAGGACCCAGTCTGGTTAAGACTCAGTCATTTTGTTCACCGTATTCTGTGTATTGCTACTTGCTTACTTTTTATGTCTTTATGTGATCCTTGTCTGTATTGCTAAATGCTTTCTCGAAATAATGCAGTTTCCAAACAGAAACATTCTGCAGGCTTGAAATAAGTAAATCAATTTATAAATTGCTGATTTTTATTATTTTCTTTTTTAGCTTTAATTTAGCAGTGAAACAGGACAAGATGTTTATCTAGTTTGCAGATGAGGAGGGAGGATTTTGGATTGCCTGTGGTTAAGTCACTACATCATGATTTGTCTTCTCTATTGTTATCAGATAAAAACTACTGCAGTAGTCTTGAGCTGTATCCATTATTAATCACTGAAGATGTCATGTGAAAGAAAGTAATTTGTTGTAACTCAGCTACAGTTTGCAGGTAAATTTTATTTAGCCCACTTGTCATACTATTAAGAATACTATTTTGTGGAGTCAAAACATTTATGTGTGGCGGGTACCAGAAATACAGGTAAAATTGTGTAACAATTGTAATATGGAATTCACTTTGGGGTGCATTGTTTTGCATTATAAGGAAGCTTTGGCAGTAGGTTGTACATCATGGTGGACTTCCAGGTGACATTGGTAGCATCAGTTGTCAGTTTGGCAAAGCTACTTTATGCTGGGTTACCTCAGGCTATAATGTGTGTGTTCTATAAATGCATTTGTTTTTGTTTATGTCTCAGGTTTTCTCTGACAAAAACTGAGAGATTTTGATCATCTGTCCTTCACAGTGTTCTGGTTTCCCTGTGCTTTTGAAAAAGTACTTGAAATTTGGCATCAGGTTGGTCTTTGGCCATTCCTATGAAACCTTGTTCAAGTTTGTCTAATTCATAAGTCATTGACAAACACAGAATTTGGTCATTTTCACTACAGTTTTGTTACATTTTAGATGTAGTCCCTAATAACTGAATTCATAGGGAAGCCTGCCCAGCCTGGGCATATTGCACTGTTGAAAGCAGAACAGGGATTTCTCAGCTGTGAATGCCTTGAATGAAAGAAAGAAAATGTGTTCCTAGTTTTGCCACTAACAGGCCAGACAGCCTCAGTGAGGAAGCCACTTTGTGTAGATCCAGGGAGAGTGACAGATGACAGAAAGGATCTTGAGCGCAAGTGCTGGAGGGCAGTAAGGATTGCAAAGCTGTTGGACTATACAGCTGGATAGGTAATGGCCCAGCTCTCCTGCAAAAAGACCAGCAATAGCCTGGAAAATACGATTTGTAGCTCTGTGAT